CCAGTGGCGACGTTCGCATGGCGGCCCCGCTCCATTTAGGCACACCTCTCGCACGTTTCGTGGCCCCATACGGAGCGCCACCAAATTCTCCAATGGTTGAGCCCACATACGTTCCCGCCCTATGTCGGTACACCCCGTACACGCTTCGTGGCCCCATATGGAGATCCACCGATGGCGATACCCACAACGGCGATACTCACGTCCGACCCAGGCTCAGTGCGGACTTATATTGGAGTTGGGCCAGCAGGCAAGCCGATGGTTCTGCGGCTCCCCTCGCTCCTGCTGCTCCTCCTGCACATCCTGCTTCTGCTGTTGCTCCTGCTGTGAATCCTCCCTGCTGCTGCTGCCTCCCGTGCCCCTGCTCCCAGCTCGTCCTCTGGCCTGAGCTTGCTTCCAAAGCAACGACCAGCGGCCCGTGGCTGCCTCGGCCCAGGTGCTTGCCAGCCACTCCATTCCGCTGCTACATTAACGACCCCCCTTGCCGTGCACTCAGTCGAGCGATGGCGCGCGTGCTGGCGGTGATGCTGATGGCGCTCGCCTTCGTGCAGGCCAGCGCCCTGGACTCGGAGGAGGATCGCCCCAAGGGCGCCCGCAGGCGGCAGATGGAGCGCACGCGCGCGGCGGAGCTCGAGGCTGCGATCGCCAAGTCTGGCTGCGCCGACCTCGGCGGCGAGAAGTGGTTTCGCGACGCGCACGGCGAGCTGTTCCAGGTGAAGCAGGACAAGTGCCGATCTCCTTCCAGCTGAAGAAGAAGAGCGGCGAGATGTACGAGAAGAAGGGTGTCGTGCGCGGCACCAGGGTGCTGGTGGAGCCGCCGTTCCCGGAGGGCCAGATGCTGCCGAACCAGACCGTCATGTGGGAGAGCGGCGCCCGCTGGGAGCGCAAGTGGTGAGCGCTAGGCCGCGTCGCCGGGGCGCCGCGCCTCCAGGCCCTCTCCCCGCCAGCCGGGGAGGGCTTCGATGTTCTCAATGTGCAATTCGGTCGGGGAAACACAGGCGGGCGGCCTGGGCATCCCTTTCGAGGCCCGCGCTCATCCCCTCCTCGGCTTGAAGGGTTGTCATTCCTGACGCTTCGCGCATGTAGCTCCCCGCCGACCATCCTGAAACGATCGCCAGGCGAGTTGCCCTCATCAGGGAAGTGGGAGGCACCGCGGCCGACTGGGGCCGTCTTGGGGCAGTCTCGGGGCCTCTTGGAGGCATGCTGGGTGCCATGTGTGCCATCTTTGACCATTTGGGTGCCGTCATGGAGGCCATCTTGAGATACCTCACGCCATCTTGGAGCCATCTTGGGCCGTCGTAGACGCCCCATGGCAACCTCTCGCAGCCCCCCCCCTTTCCTGTCCAAACCCACTGAGTGCAGAGGGCAGGGAAAGAGTATGTGCCGATCTCCGAAGGGGGAGGACGGGGGCTGGAAGAGGAAGCGCGCTCAACCACCTAGGCCCAGAGGGCTGGTGGGATTGGTCCGGACTGCCACAGGCTTGGCTCTACAACGGGGGTCGGCCGTCCCCTCGACGCTTTCGGATCCCTCCAGGAAGTCGCCTCCTCTGCGAGCTCTTGGATGTCCCTCGCCTCCTCTTCCAGCTCCTCGAAATCGGCTGGAGCTTCTGGGCGTTCTGATCCAATGTCGTGCTTGCGCTCATGATCTTGTCTTAAGCGGGATGGGAGGTGGTTCGTTGCCCCCTCCTCCCCCCCCTGCGTCGCCACAGCTGGACGCGGCTCGAAGACGTGGTCCGACCCAGGCTCAGGACGGATTCCGAGTGGAGTTGGGCCAGCAGGCAAGCCGATGGTTCTGCGGCTCCCCTCGCTCCTGCTGCTCCTCCTGCACATCCTGCTTCTGCTGTTGCTCCTGCTGTGAATCCTCCCTGCTGCTGCTGCCTCCCGTGCCCCTGCTCCCAGCTCGTCCTCTGGCCTGAGCTTGCTTCCAAAGCAACGACCAGCGGCCCGTGGCTGCCTTGGCCCAGGTGCTTGCCAGCCACTCCATTCCGCCGCTACACTAACGACCCCCCTTGCCGTGCACTCAGTCGAGCGATGGCGCGCGTGCTGGCGGTGATGCTGATGGCGCTCGCCTTCGTGCAGGCCAGCGCCCTGGACTCGGAGGAGGATCGCCCCAAGGGCGCCCGCAGGCGGCAGATGGAGCGCACGCGCGCGGCGGAGCTCGAGGCTGCGATCGCCAAGTCCGGCTGCGCCGACCTCGGCGGCGAGAAGTGGTTCGCGGACGCGCACGGCGAGCTGTTCCAGGTGAAGCAGGACAAGTGCTCGATCTCCTTCCAGCTGAAGAAGAAGAGCGGCGAGATGTACGAGAAGAAGGGTGTCGTGCGCGGCACCAGGGTGCTGGTGGAGCCGCCGTTCCCGGAGGGCCAGATGCTGCCGAACCAGACCGTCATGTGGGAGAGCGGCGCCCGCTGGGAGCGCAAGTGGTGAGCGCTTGGCCGCGTCGCCGGGGCGCCGCGCCTCCAGGCAGTCCCCCCGCTAGCCGGGGAGGGCTTCGATGTTCTCAATGTGCAATTCGGCCGGGGAAACACGGGCGGGCGGCCTGGGCATCCCTTTCGAGGCCCGCGCTCATCCCCTCCTCAGCTTGAAGCGTTGTCATTCCTGACGCTTCGCGCATGTAGCTCCCCGCCGACCATCCTGAAACGATCGCCAGGCGAGTTGCCCTCATCAGGGAAGTGGGAGGCACCGCGGCCGACTGGGGCCGTCTTGGGGCAGTCTCGGGGCCTCTTGGAGGCATGCTGGGTGCCATGTGTGCCATCTTTGACCATTTGGGTGCCGTCATGGAGGCCATCTTGAGATACCTCACGCCATCTTGGAGCCATCTTGGGCCGTCGTAGACGCCCCACGGCAACCTCTCGCAGCCCCCCCCTTCCCTGTCCAAACCCACTGAGTGCAGAGGGCAGGGAAAGAGTATGTGCCGATCTCCGAAGGGGGAGGACGGGGGCTGGAAGAGGAAGCGCACTCAACCACCTAGGCCCAGAGGGCTGGTGGGATTGGTCCGGACTGCCACAGGCTTGGCTCTACAACGGGGGTCGGCCGTCCCCTCGACGCTTTCGGATCCCTCCAGGAAGTCGCCTCCTCTGCGAGCTCTTGGATGTCCCTCGCCTCCTCTTCCAGCTCCTCGAAATCGGCTGGAGCTTCTGGGCGTTCTGATCCAATGTCGTGCTTGCGCTCATGATCTTGTCTTAAGCGGGATGGGAGGTGGTTCTTTGCCCCCTCCTCCCCCCCCTGCGTCGCCACAGCTGGACGCGGCTCGAAGACGTGGTCCGACCCAGGCTCAGGACGGATTCCGAGTGGAGTTGGGCCAGCAGGCAAGCCGATGGTTCTGCGGCTCCTGGTTCTGCGGCTCCTGCTCCTGCTGCTCCTCCTGCACATCCTGCTTCTGCTGTTGCTCCTGCTGTGAATCCTCCCTGCTGCTGCTGCCTCCCGTGCCCCTGCTCCCAGCTCGTCCTCTGGCCTGAGCTTGCTTCCAAAGCAACGACCAGCGGCCCGTGGCTGCCTTGGCCCAGGTGCTTGCCAGCCACTCCATTCCGCCGCTACATTAACGACCCCCTTTGCCGTGCACTCAGTCGAGCGATGGCGCGCGTGCTGGCGGTGATGCTGATGGCGCTCGCCTTCGTGCAGGCCAGCGCCCTGGACTCGGAGGAGGATCGCCCCAAGGGCGCCCGCAGGCGGCAGATGGAGCGCACGCGCGCGGCGGAGCTCGAGGCTGCGATCGCCAAGTCCGGCTGCGCCGACCTCGGCGGCGAGAAGTGGTTCGCGGACGCGCACGGCGAGCTGTTCCAGGTGAAGCAGGACAAGTGCTGGATCTCCTTCCAGCTGAAGAAGAAGAGCGGCGAGATGTACGAGAAGAAGGGTGTCGTTCGCGGCACCAGGGTGCTGGTGGAGCCGCCGTTCCCGGAGGGCCAGATGCTGCCGAACCAGACCGTCATGTGGGAGAGCGGCGCCCGCTGGGAGCGCAAGTGGTGAGCGCTTGGCCGCGTCGCCAGGGCGCCGCGCCTCCAGGCCGCCCCCCCCCGCCAGCCGGGGAGGGCTCCGACGTTCTCAATGTGCAATTCGGTCGGGGAAACATAGGCGGGCGGCCTGGGCATCCCTTTCGAGGCCCGCGCTCATCCCCTCCTCAGCTTGAAGGGTTGTCATTCCTGACGCTTCGCGCATGTAGCTCCCCGCCGACCATCCTGAAACGATCGCCAGGCGAGGTGCCCTCATCGGGGACCTGGGAGGCACCGCGGCCGACTGGGGCCGTCTTGGGGCAGTCTCGGGGCCTCTTGGAGGCATGCTGGGTGCCGTGTGTGCCATCTTTGACCACTGTGTGGCTGTCATGGAGGCCATCTTGATATACCTCACGCCATCTTGGAGCCATCTTGGGCCGTCGTAGACGCCCCACGGCAACCTCTCGCAGCCCCCCCCCTTCCCTGTCCAGACCCACTGAGTGCAGAGGGCAGGGAAAGAGACTGTGCCCATCCCCGAAGGGGGAAGACGGGGGCTGGAAGAGGAAGCGCGCTCAACCACCAAGGCCCAGAGGGCTGGTGGGGTTGGTCCGGACTGCCACAGGTTTGTGTCTACAACGGGGGTCGGCCGTCCCCTCGACGCTTTCGGATCCCTCCAGGAAGTCGCCTCCTCTGCGAGCTCTTGGATGTCCCTCGCCTCCTCTTCCGGCTCCTCGAAATCGGCTGGAGCTTCTGGGCGTTCTGATCCAGTGTCGTGCTTGCGCTCATGATCTTGTCTTAAGCGGGGTGGGAGGTGGTTCGTTGCCCCCTCCCCCCCCCTGCGTCGCCACAGCTGGACGCGGCTCGAAGACGTGGTCCGACCCAGGCTCAGGACGGAATCCGAGTGGAGTTGGGCCAGCAGGCAAGCCGATGGTTCTGCGGCTCCTTTTCGCTCCTGCTGCTCCTCCTGCATATCCTGCTTCTGCTGTTGCTCCTGCTGTAAATCCTCCCTGCTGCTGCTGCCTCCCGTGCCCCTGCTCCCATCTCGTCCTCTGGCCTGAGCTTGCCTCCAAAGCAACGACCAGCGGCCCGTGGCTGCCTCGGCCCAGGTGCTTGCCAGCCACTCCATTCCGCTGCTACATTAACGACCCCCTTTGCCGTGCACTCAGTCGAGCGATGGCGCGCGTGCTGGCGGTGATGCTGATGGCGCTCGCCTTCGTGCAGGCCAGCGCCCTGGACTCGGAGGAGGATCGCCCCAAGGGCGCCCGCAGGCGGCAGATGGAGCGCACGCGCGCGGCGGAGCTCGAGGCTGCGATCGCCAAGTCCGGCTGCGCCGACCTCGGCGGCGAGAAGTGGTTCGCGGACGCGCACGGCGAGCTGTTCCAGGTGAAGCAGGACAAGTGCTCGATCTCCTTCCAGCTGAAGAAGAAGAGCGGCGAGATGTACGAGAAGAAGGGTGTCGTGCGCGGCACCAGGGTGCTGGTGGAGCCGCCGTTCCCGGAGGGCCAGATGCTGCCGAACCAGACCGTCATGTGGGAGAGCGGCGCCCGCTGGGAGCGCAAGTGGTGAGCGCTAGGCCGCGTCGCCAGGGCGCCGCGCCTCCAGGCCCTCTCCCCGCCAGCCGGGGAGGGCTCCGACGTTCTCAATGTGCAATTCGGTCGGGGAAACATAGGCGGGCGGCCTGGGCATCCCTTTCGAGGCCCGCGCTCATCCCCTCCTCAGCTTGAAGGGTTGTCATTCCTGACGCTTCGCGCATGTAGCTCCCCGCCGACCATCCTGAAACGATCGCCAGGCGAGTTGCCCTCATCGGGGACCTGGGAGGCACCGCGGCCGACTGGGGCCGTCTTGGGGCAGTCTCGGGGCCTCTCGGAGGCATGCTGGGTGCCATGCGTGCCATCTTTGACCACTGTGTGGCCGTCATGGAGGCCATCTTGAGATACCGCACGCCATCTTGGAGCCATCTTGGGCCGTCGTAGACGCCCACGGCAACCTCTCGCAGCCCCCCCCCTTCCCTGTCCAGACCCACTGAGTGCAGAGGGCAGGGAAAGAGGTTGTGCCCATCCCCGAAGGGGGAAGACGGGGGCTGGAAGAGGAAGCGCGCTCAACCACCAAGGCCCAGAGGGCTGGTGGGATTGGTCCGGAATGCCACAGGTTTGGGTCTACAACGGGGGTCGGCCGTCCCCTCGACGCTTTCGGATCCCTCCAGGAAGTCGCCTCCTCTGCGAGCTCTTGGATGTCCCTCGCCTCCTCTTCTGGCTCCTCGAAATCGGCTGGAGTTTCTGGGCGTTCTGATCCAGAGTCGTGCTTGCGCTCATGATCTTGTCTTAAGCGGGGTGGGAGGTGGTTCGTTGCCCCCTCCCCCCCCCTGCGTCGCCACAGCTGGACGCGGCTCGAAGACGTGGTCCGACCCAGGCTCAGGACGGAATCCGAGTGGAGTTGGGCCAGCAGGCAAGCCGATGGTTCTGCGGCTCCTTTTCGCTCCTGCTGCTCCTCCTGCATATCCTGCTTCTGCTGTTGCTCCTGCTGTAAATCCTCCCTGCTGCTGCTGCCTCCCGTGCCCCTGCTCCCATCTCGTCCTCTGGCCTGAGCTTGCCTCCAAAGCAACGACCAGCGGCCCGTGGCTGCCTCGGCCCAGGTGCTTGCCAGCCACTCCATTCCGCTGCTACATTAACGACCCCCTTTGCCGTGCACTCAGTCGAGCGATGGCGCGCGTGCTGGCGGTGATGCTGATGGCGCTCGCCTTCGTGCAGGCCAGCGCCCTGGACTCGGAGGAGGATCGCCCCAAGGGCGCCCGCAGGCGGCAGATGGAGCGCACGCGCGCGGCGGAGCTCGAGGCTGCGATCGCCAAGTCCGGCTGCGCCGACCTCGGCGGCGAGAAGTGGTTCGCGGACGCGCACGGCGAGCTGTTCCAGGTGAAGCAGGACAAGTGCTCGATCTCCTTCCAGCTGAAGAAGAAGAGCGGCGAGATGTACGAGAAGAAGGGTGTCGTGCGCGGCACCAGGGTGCTGGTGGAGCCGCCGTTCCCGGAGGGCCAGATGCTGCCGAACCAGACCGTCATGTGGGAGAGCGGCGCCCGCTGGGAGCGCAAGTGGTGAGCGCTTGGCCGCGTCGCCAGGGCGCCGCGCCTCCAGGCCGTCCCCCCGCCAGCCGGGGAGGGCTCCGACGTTCTCAATGTGCAATTCGGCCGGGGAAACACAGGCGGGTGGCCTGGGCATCCCTTTCGAGGCCCGCGCTCATCCCCTCCTCAGCTTGAAGGGTTGTCATTCCTGACGCTTCGCGCATGTAGCTCCCCGCCGACCATCCTGAAACTTTCGCCAGGCGAGCTCCCCTCATCGGGGAACTGGGAGGCACCGCGGCCGACTGGGGCCGTCTTGGGGCAGTCTCGGGGCCTCTGGGAGGCATGCTGGGTGCCGTGTGTGCCATCTTTGACCATTTTGTGGCCGTCATGGAGGCCATCTTGAGATACCTCACGCCATCTTGGAGCCATCTTGGGCCGTCGTAGACGCCCACGGCAACCTCTCGCAGCCCCCCCCCTTCCCTGTCCAGACCCACTGAGTGCAGAGGGCAGGGAAAGAGACTGTGCTCATCCCCGAAGGGGGAGGACGGGGGCTGGAAGAGGAAGCGCGCTCAACCGCCTAGGCCCAGAGGGCTGGTGGGGTTGGTCCGGACTGCCACAGGCTTGGCTCTACAACGGGGGTCGGCCGTCCCCTCGACGCTTTCGGATCCCTCCAGGAAGTCGCCTCCTCTGCGAGCTCTTGGATGTCCCTCGCCTCCTCTTCTGGCTCCTCGAAATCGGCTGGAGCTTCTGGGCGTTCTGATCCAGTGTCGTGCTTGCGCTCATGATCTTGTCTTAAGCGGGGTGGGAGGTGGTTCGTTGCCCCCTCCCCCCCCCTGCGTCGCCAAAGCTGGACGCGGCTCGAAGACGTGGTCCGACCCAGGCTCAGGACGGATTCCGAGTGGAGTGGGGCCAGCAGGCAAGCCGATGGTTCTGCGGCTCCTTTTCGCTCCTGCTGCTCCTCCTGCACATCCTGCTTCTGCTGTTGCTCCTGCTGTGAATCCTCCCTGCTGCTGCTGCCTCCCGTGCCCCTGCTCCCATCTCGTCCTCTGGCCTGAGCTTGCTTCCAAAGCAACGACCAGCGGCCCGTGGCTGCCTCGGCCCAGGTGCTTGCCAGCCACTCCATTCCGCTGCTACATTAACGACCCCCTTTGCCGTGCATTCAGTCGAGCGATGGCGCGCATGCTGGCGGTGATGCTGATGGCGCTCGCCTTCGTGCAGGCCAGCGCCCTGGACTCGGAGGAGGATCGCCCCAAGGGCGCCCGCAGGCGGCAGATGGAGCGCACGCGCGCTGCGGAGCTCGAGGCTGCGATCGCCAAGTCGGGCTGCGCCGACCTCGGCGGCGAGAAGTGGTTCGCGGACGCGCACGGCGAGCTGTTCCAGGTGAAGCAGGACAAGTGCTGGATCTCCTTCCAGCTGAAGAAGAAGAGCGGCGAGATGTACGAGAAGAAGGGTGTCGTGCGCGGCACCAGGGTGCTGGTGGAGCCGCCGTTCCCGGAGGGCCAGATGCTGCCGAACCAGACCGTTATGTGGGAGAGCGGCGCCCGCTGGGAGCGCAAGTGGTGAGCGCTTGGCCGCGTCGCCGGGGCGCCGTGCCTCCAGGCCGCCCCCCCCGCCAGCCGGGGAGGGCTCCGACGTTCTCAATGTGCAATTCGGTCGGGGAAACATAGGCGGGCGGCCTGGGCATCCCTTTCGAGGCCCGCGCTCATCCCCTCAGCTTGAAGGGTTGTCATTCCTGACGCTTCGCGCATGTAGCTCCCCGCCGACCATCCTGAAACGATCGCTAGGCGAGTTGCCCTCATCGGGGAACTGGGAGGCACCGCGGCCGACTGGGGCCGTCTTGGGGCAGTCTCGGGGCCTCTTGGAGGCATTCTGGGTGCCGTGTGTGCCATCTTTGACCATCTTGGTTCCGTCATGGAGGCCATCTTGAGATACCGCACGCCATCTTGGAGCCATCTTGGGCCGTCGTAGACGCCCCACGGCAACCTCTCGCAGCCCCCCCTTCCCTGTCCAGACCCACTGAATGCAGAGGGCAGGGAAAGAGGTTGTGCCCATCCCCGAAGGGGGAAGACGGGGGCTGGAAGAGGAAGCACGCTCAACCACCTAGGCCCAGAGGGCTGGTGGGATTGGTCCGGAATGCCACAGGTTTGGGTCTGCAACGGGGGTCGGCCGTCCCCTCGACGCTTTCGGATCCCTCCATGAAGTCGCCTCCTCTGCGAGCTCTTGGATGTCCCTCGCCTCCTCTTCCAGCTCCTCGAAATCGGCTGGAGTTTCTGGGCGTTCTGATCCAGCGTCGTGCCTGCGCTCATGATCTTGTCTTAAGCGGGGTGGGAGGTGGTTCGTTGCCCCCTCCTCCCCCCCCTGCGTCGCCAAAGCTGGACGCGGCTCGAAGACGTGGTCCGACCCAGGCTCAGGACGGATTCCGGGTGGAGTGGGGCCAGCAGGCAAGCCGATGGTTCTGCGGTTCCCCTCGCTCCTGCTGCTCCTCCTGCACATCCTGCTTCTGCTGTTGCTCCTGCTGTGAATCCTCCCTGCTGCTGCTGCCTCCCGTGCCCCTGCTCCCATCTCGTCCTCTGGCCTGAGCTTGCCTCCAACGCAACGACCAGCGGCCCGTGGCTGCCTTGGCCCAGGTGCTTGCCAGCCACTCCATTCCGCTGCTACATTAACGACCCCCTCTGCCGTGCACTCAGTCGAGCGATGGCGCGCGTGCTGGCGGTGATGCTGATGGCGCTCGCCTTCGTGCAGGCCAGCGCCCTGGACTCGGAGGAGGATCGCCCCAAGGGCGCCCGCAGGCGGCAGATGGAGCGCACGCGCGCTGCGGAGCTCGAGGCTGCGATCGCCAAGTCGGGCTGCGCCGACCTCGGCGGCGAGAAGTGGTTCGCGGACGCGCACGGCGAGCTGTTCCAGGTGAAGCAGGACAAGTGCTCGATCTCCTTCCAGCTGAAGAAGAAGAGCGGCGAGATGTACGAGAAGAAGGGTGTCGTGCGCGGCACCAGGGTGCTGGTGGAGCCGCCGTTCCCGGAGGGCCAGATGCTGCCGAACCAGACCGTTATGTGGGAGAGCGGCGCCCGCTGGGAGCGCAAGTGGTGAGCGCTTGGCCGCGTCGCCGGGGCGCCGCGCCTCCAGGCCGCCCCCCCGCCAGCCGGGGAGGGCTCCGATGTTCTCAATCTGCAATTCGGTCGGGGAAACACAGGCGGGCGGCCTGGGCATCCCGTT